CAGTTAAAGTTAAGTTACAGAGGCAGGCACAATGCAGTTAGTTTTACAGAGGCAGGCACAATGCAGTTAGTTTTACAGAGGCAGGCACAATGCAGTTAAGTTTACAGAGGCAGGCACAATGCAGTTAGTTTTACAGAGGCAGGCACAATGCAGTTAGTTTTACAGAGGCAGGCACAATGCAGTTAGTTTTACAGAGGCAGGCACGGTACAAGGCAGTCGCAGGCGATGTCTGCCGGGTGAACGCGGCGATAGCTGCGGATGCGAAGGCCGGTTCCTCGGACGGAAAAATCCACGACGACGTCGAGAGGCTGAGATGGCCGATGACATGAAACACGAGACAACGAGAAGATGGATCGGAACTGCCCTGCCCGGCAAAAGCTCTGGCGAGCTTGCAAAGAAACCCTCTCCTTTGGCTTCAGAGGGGCCTATCCCACTACAGCCCTGTCCTCTAACTTAACTTCAAAATGCCAACTCACCTGCTCATCTCTGCTCCTTGCTGTGCTCGGGGCAACACCGACTCCTGCAAAGACAGAAAAGAAAAAAGCACTCTGAGTTACTGTCACAATGCACAAGGTGGAATTCCCGATGTGGTTCCTTTATTCCATCTGGGACTACAAAAGCTTGTCAGCCAACCAGGGACTGAAACAGAAGAAAAACCACTCAGCCCCACCTCTCGTACCCAAAGATCCCCTGTAAAGTTCTGAAGACAGAGCCCTCAAACGAGTGTGGGGTGCTTTGCCCTGAGGCATGTGCTATTTTTAACAAATTCGAGTCACCTCCCTTGCTTTCTAGACACTGCTCACCGGCGTGGCAGGCTAGGGGCGGCTGAGGCGAAACGTCTTTCCCCTGATAATGACTGCACGATAAACCTGCAACCCCTTCTGTCTCTCAGAATCCTGTCCGTGACACCAATGTGTGTCAGGATCCACAAGGTGGGATTTGTGATGTGGTTCTTTCATTCTATCTTAGAGAACTAAAGATTAGCAGCAAACCAGGGACTTTAAACAGAAAAACCTCTCAGTCCCACTTCTCATACTCAAAGATCCCCTGTAAAGTTCTGAAGACAGAGCCCTCAAACGAGTGTGGGGTGCTTTGCCCTGAGGCATGTGCTGTTTTTAAAAAATTCGAGTCACCTCCCTTGCTTTCTAGACACTGCTCACCGGCGTGGCAGGCTAGGGGCGGCTGAGGCGAAACGTCTTTCCTTTGATAATGACTGCACGATAAACCTGCAACCCCTTCTGTCTCTCAGAATCCTGTCCGTGACACCGATGTGTGTCAGGATCCACAAGGTGGGATTTGTGATGTGGTTCTTTCATTCTATCTTAGAGAACTAAAGATTAGAAGCAAACCAGGGACTTAAACACCAAAACACACACAGACCTTGCACCCACCTGTCCTCCAGTATGTGTCAGGATCCGCAAGGTGGGATCTGTGATGTGGTTCTTTCATTCTATCTTAGAGAACTAAAGATTAGAAGCAAACCAGGGACTTAAACAGAAAAACCTCTCAGTCCCACTTCTCATACTCAAAGATCCCCTGTAAAGTTCTGAAGACAGAGCCCTCAAACGAGTGTGGGGTGCTTTGCCCTGAGGCATGTGCAGTTTTTAAAAAATTCGAGTCACCTCCCTTGCTTTCTAGACACTGCTCACCAGCGTGGCAGGCTAGGGGCGGCTGAGGCGAAACGTCTTTCCCTTGATAATGACTGCACAATAAAGCTGCAACCCCTTCTGCCTCTCAGAATCCTGTCCGTGACACCGATTCGTGTCAGGATCCACAAGGTGGGATCTGTGATGTGGTTCTTTCATTCTATCTTAGAGAACTAAAGATTAGAAGCAAACCAGGGACTTAAACACCAAAACACACACAGACCTTGCACCCACCTGTCCTCCAGTATCCTTGGCTGGGATATCTTGCAAGTAGACCACCTAAAATAAAAAAAACAAGGGATAAAAGTTATAGCAGAAACTGCCTTGGCTGGGATATCTTGCAAGTAGACCACCTAAAATAAAAAAAACAAGGGATAAAAGTTATAGCAAAAACTGAGACCCCAGCAAGAACAACTGCTTCTCTCCACCAACCGAGGCTCACCTTTGCAATGCTTCACCTTCTCTGCTGCTATCCGGCTTTACTTCCTAGAAACAAAGAGCAGAGCTGTAACACAGTGACCGGTTCCAGCCCCGCTGCAAAGAAAAACCGTGACTGACCTTCTCAGGGGGACCCCCTCATCTGGGATAGCTGCTCTGCCATGACGTCAAACCGTCTGCATCTGAAAGAGTTAGGAAAAAAGTCAAACTGTTGCAGGGTAACTTCACAGCTCCAGACACCTGCTGCCAACATAAGAATACCACCTAAACTCCAACTACAGCCCGTACTACAAGTCTCCGATTACAAGTGCCCGGGACTTGTCCTTAAACACCTACAACCAGGCTGGGCGGCAGGGCAGAGCAGCTCCGGACCAAATGCCCCCAGACACCCATGACACGTGAGACGAGGGGACGTGACAGGGAGAGAAAACTCCCTGAGACAAGAAAGTCCTCACGAGGACCGAGAGAATGCTGAACGAGATGACCGAGGAGGGACCCGAGGCAAGCCTGCCGGGCTCGGATGACCCTGGAGGAAAAAGATGCTAACGGAACAACTATTTTCCAAGAACCGCAGAGACGGATGCCCGAGAATCCTGTGGCTGGAAGCCTCTGCCTGCCTTTGAATCGGCACAAGTCCTTATCCACTGTAAAGAAACACTGCTGCATATAGCTGTTGACACAGCTGAGAACGAGACCTAAAAAGATCACGTGCTTCTGAAGACAAATGCGATTCTGACATGTGTCCGACCTCCCGAATCGAAGCTTCGCCGGCGTCGGGCCGAGGAACGCAAAGATGGGAGATGAACGGAAAGACCCCGGGGTTTCTCATAAGCCCCTGGGAGGACTAAGGCAAGAGACACATTACACGAGATGCACAGAAGGCACAGAAGGCACGAGAGACAAGTGACAACACACCCTGGGACTGCTCTGCCCTGCCTGCCTCAGCATTGCAAACCAAAGTGAGGCTTTCCCTCACTGGGGCCTATGGGGTCATTTCCAAAACCTCCGCATCCCCAAAGCTCACTCAAAAACCCAAACCGATCTCAGTCCCGACCGCCGCCCTGCCTTGATCCCCTCTGTGGGCTCCACTTATCTCTCAGAGGGCTGAAGATGTGAGTCACGGCGAGAGGCCGGTCGGGAGCCAAACAAAGCCACCTCACTGTCTGGGAAGTTCTTCTCTCACCAGGCTGTTGTCTCAGACAAGTATCATCACCTATGATAAAGAAAACCAAATATAAGTGCACTATCTTACTAGCATATTCACCAAAACCCAACTCCTACTCACCGTCTCTTAGGAACTCCCAGGTCCTCGGGCCTCACGCTTCAGCCATGCTCCGAGGCGGACGCCGTCGTCGCAGGGTTCGCCTAGGATAAACGGAGAGGAGGCGATGTAGCGTCGCTAAAAGTTGAGCGCGCCCTCGCCGCTCCTTGCGACTCGCCCGACTCCTCGGCCGCACCTAAAGGGTACCGGGAGCGCACCGACACGTGGACGAGGTCGAGGCTTCGTCACGGACTCCGGTAATATTTGCTGGGGCTCACCAGAGAAGCAAACCGGGTCTCTAGGGAGACCAGTGAGGGGGCCTCAGCACAGCATCAGGAGGCAGCCTAAAACACACAAACAAGCAGGGATGCTTGGAGTTGCACCAGAAACTGAGACCCCAGCAGGAACAACGGCTGCTCTTCACCAACCGAGGCTCACCTTCCACCTGCTTCGCCCTCCCTGCTGCTTTCTGGCTTTACTTCCTAGAAACAAAGACAAAGAGCAGAGATGTAACACAGTGACCGGTT